CACTTTAATAATATAATGATGCCAGAAACCAAATTTCAAGATGTGTGGAAGCTCTGCAGTATGATTCTATCTGATCAATAAGAAAACATGTTCATTTTAACCTGTAACTGGGAGTCATGGTCCTCTGAGAAGCCAAGCTTTTTTAACTAGTTAAGAAGAACAAACTATGTTTTCTCAAGCTTCTTGCATTATAATACTAACTTCTATAAACTTACAATCTGTTGCCATTTTTAGCTGAAAAATCTCTGTACATCTAATTCTCACCCTAAAAGTCAAATATGGGGCCACTGTGTTCTCACCTGTTGGCTGCTGCTTGCCAAACTCTTCTCAGCTCTCCTTCTCTCTGCAAAAATATATATAGAGAGAGGGACAGCGTATCTTTACTGGCAAAACTAGTAAAGTTTGACAGCTGCTGTGAATGTGGGAAACAGAGTTAGAATATCTTCAAATAAAAGCAAGACTGGCAAAAAAAAAAAAAAAAATAGCAGGTATGCAGCCTCAAGCAGAAGATTAAGGGCCCTCTGGTAGTAAGGATTAGGAGAATAAAAACACATCTGCAATAGATTTAGTAAGAAACTATTTGCCATTCCCAGAGGCCACACATTATTTTAGAACAAATCGAGATTTTTCATTTTATGATCTCAATTTCCTCTATTGTTATTATTGTTATTATGATATTCATGGTAAAATCATCATCTAAGTGTTGCATGGTCTCCTAAAAAAAAAAAAAATCATGTTTGCATGATTACACTTAATCTGTTATAATCCACCTTTACAGTAATTGAGATTGACTACGGCTTGAACTTGCCTCATGTTAACAGCATTTTTCTTTTTATGCAAAATATTTTAGGGGATATAAATGGGAAACAGTTCGCTTATAAAAGAAAAATTAAATAGACATAAGCGTGTCCTGGAACAGTTGTAATATATGCAAATCCATAAAATATGCGCGACTAAAATAAAAATTATTACAGTAAATTTAATTTAATAAAGTCAAAGCTGACATTAAATAATGGTAATGGAAAAAAATATTATTCTTCACTTGTTTTCTCCAATTTCTTGTTCTAAAGACTGAGAAATATAAACATCACAAAAAAAACAACAACAAGTACAGTTACATTTTTTCCACTGCTGTACATGAATTAATAAAGGAACTTCGCCTAATTATTCAGATTAAGATATGAAATTAATTCTGCTGTTTTCAGTGTTCAATTCCCTCCATAATCCACGTTTAGCGGTTTTTAACATAGAAGTTATTCTGACGGTCATGTTAAACAAAAACTCACCGCTGCGAGCAGTCTCCATGTTTCCCCGCAGTTTTCCTGTCTTCTTGTCTCTATGCGGCTGCTGCTGCATGAGTTTATTTACATCTAATCCACACTTCTGATTGGTCCCTTCCTGGTCAGCTGACACAGAACGAATCCGGAAGTCCTCTCCCTTCTTTCCCGCTGTGATTTTCCTGAAGGCCACACGATGTATTCAGGTGAAGGTTGAAACTCAGCAGGGAAACCATTCATTGTCTAAAATGGTTCAAGCTCACATGCGAGAAAAACGGCACATTTGCGCCGCTTTAGTGTTTTTTGATAATGCCAGTTTCCCGTGAGGTTTGATTTTTATCTTCTCTAAATTAAGGAATTAACCAGACGAGGGACCAGCTGGTATTATTGATCAATATAATGACAAGAAAATAAACAAATAAAAATTAGATTTTATAAGAAATGTTTCCACTGTTTACTCTTGACTAGAAAAAAAATGCATACATTGAGAAAATATTGGAGTTACATCAAGTTAATCTTTAGAAACTAGAAATGCAAATTTACCCATCTAAGATAAACATGGAACAGGAAAAGGGGCACTGAAAAAAAAATTAATTGATTTTTACATTATATTTCAGTATAATATGAGAAAAAAGTCAGAATTCTGCCTTTTTTTCCCTCTGAATTCTGACTAATCTCAGAATTCTGACTTTTTTCTCAGAATTCTGAGTTTTTATTCAGAATTCTCACTTAAATCTGTGAATTCTGACAGCTAACAAACATATTAGAATCAAGCTGTAGCCATGTCTGTTTAAGTGACTAATCTAGCTCTACTGTTCACCTGCTCTTCCATTAATGAAATAGCATCACCGGGGACCACTCTGGCATAAAAAGTCATCTAATTCCATCATTTTCCACCAATATGTCACTGGCCCTCTCAAACAACTCACATCTTTGTCAGTGAAGCCGAGTGCTCCTACCTCTTCCTTCATTGTGCCCATCTACATTAAGATCCAAAATTCTCAGATTAAAGTCAGAATTCTGACTTTATTCCCATATTAAACTGCAATAATATTTAAAAATCTGTTAACCTTTTTTATTTTCTCAGTGGCCTTAATTCTCTTCTGTAGATTAAAGTTTTCTTAAATAGACAACGTTTTACTAGTTGGTATGATAAATGGTATTTGACAGCATTATTTTATCACAAAAATTGCATGAACATTTTGACTGGATTTGATGTTTTAATTAGATGCATTTGTTTGCAGTGGACATTTTGTAGTGATGACAAGTTGTTTTGTTTTTAGTTCAATAAAAAAAAGAATAAAATTAGATGTATTTGCCAAGAACCTGTAGACTAGAGCTGAGAGATTTTACAAACCTGACAGAAATCCCTCTCATGTTCTTTCACAAACAGCATATTTTCACCTGTAAACATTTAGAACCCTGAAGATTTTTACAACTTGAAAATCACATTCCCTCCAAACACTGAATGCCTGTGGAAAACAGCTTGTTTTTATAGCTGTTTAGGGTAGACCAGCTCTTGTCTTAGCTTAGTGCCCACTAACATATTGAGATGCATTTTAAGCTCCTGTCTTAAACTTTATCCTGAAAAGAAAAGTTGTCAGCCTTAATGGTTTGATTTTATTGATCCTTTTCACCTTTCAATCACATTTATAGGCATTAACAAGTCCTTTCGAGGAGAGAGATGGACATCGCAAGACCCCAACAGATCTTGTGACTTCATCTCATGCAATCCAATCCAAATTACAACAGTTAAATTCAATAATTAGCACGTCTACTGCAGCTTTTTACAATGGGTGAGCTGATTTCCTGGGTATTAACTATGTCATTGTATGTCTTAACATCTTTAGCTATTAGCTCACAGCCTAAATGAACTGACACGTGACTTTATCATCAGTCATAATCATGTTTTCCTTTTAACTATCAATACAGCAAGATTAGAAATTGTAGTTTAGAGGGAATCCAGAAGAACATTTTAAAACATGTAAAGAGAATTGAATCTAATCTTGTCGCAACACAATTTATTTTTATAGGTTAGATTTAAAACTACTTCACAGTCAAAACATTTATTAAACCATTTATGACTAATCTACTGCACATGTGACACCTGTATGATGAAAGACTAACCATATTAGCTTCACTAACAGAACTGACACTTTGAGTGTGTTTGCCAGACCTTTACTCCCTGTTATCAGAAATTTCCATTTTGGTCCAACAAGACATTCATACAAAGCATACCACAAAGTCACTCTGAAATGGCATAAAACAGGCAAAATGAAAGTTTAGGCTTGGCCTGGTTAAGGTTTAGACTAAGATCATTTTAGGGTGTATTTGAAATCACCACTGGGTTTTGAAAATTGTCCAATTAGATGGAACAAAAATGCTTTAAAGAAGAATTTGACAAAATTATTCCACCGTGATGCAACATATTTAGTGGCAGTTATTGCAGATACTTGATGTAAATTGTTGCCACCGCGGTTCAAGAACTCTTGCCCATATACTGTATGTCCCATGAAGACTCTTGTTCGACGTCCACTGTCAGTCGGTTCAAGGCCACTGCAAATAGGATAGGAATCAAAGTTGATATCTAATGTAATCCCAATTCCACCTAGACCCAATCTGTCATTTCTACCACACTCCTCACTCACTGTCTTTGTCCTGCACACATATCTGAACATACCTAAATAAATCCATACACATCATCTATGCTCTTCTTGGACATTTCCAAAGCAAGAATATTAGGGCTATTCTTTTTTTTTAAATTAATTTTTTATTATTATTGAGCATCAGTGGTACATTATATATTTTCCATTACAAGAGGATTGATACTCATATTTATATTTTAACCCCCATCCCAAGAACAGTTTGGACACCAATCCAGCAGGAGTAGATAATTGAAGGTGAAACAAAAATAAACAATAGCTAAAAAAATAAATAAATGAATAAATAAATAAAATATATACATATATACACATATATACATATACACATACATACACCCATACATATACATATATATATATAGAATAGTGATAAAGAAAAAAAATTATAAAATAAAATGAATAAATAAAAATAAAATAGAAAAATAAACAATCAGTTTTACATACATATATACATCCAGGTATGTACACACACGAGCGTACATAACATAAAGAGCATTTATCTTGCCAGCACTGAGGCTTTGCACGCTACAAGAAATGGTTCACATGGGTTCGAATAAGATCACAGATCCTAACGCAGGATGACTGCCAGAGGATGATTAAGTGGGCACAGTTTTAAGTTTACCTAAATGTGTCAATATCTGACCCCAGACAGAGAAAAATTTGTCCATGGACCCCTTAGAGTATATTTAATTTTTTCTAATTGCATGAAGTGTGTCAGGTCATATTAGGGCTATTCTGAGGTATTAAGATTCTCTTATTCAATAAATCACTCCTATGTTTTCACTCTATGGCAAATGACCTCCTCCACCACATAGTTTTATGTTTAGATTTAAAATAGCATCTAACACTCAAACCAGAACACAACAAGGTATAGCGATTTCTACTAGTTCCTTTACTTAAATACAAAAGGTGTTTTTTAATGACTTCTACAGTTTTAAAATCATCTAACTTCTTCATGATTGTTTAGTATTTAGCTGTGATTTTGTTATGAAGGATTCCAATATGATTCAGAGCTTCTGATGATTTAAAAAACGGTATATTTAAAAATATATATATATATATTTCTATAAGTACTGAATACAGTTTACCTTTTGATTAATTTTATTGAATCTAAGAGCTGAAACCATCTTTTTAAAACTTCTCCATGGATTTTATTTTTTTCAGAACAGGCGACTGTGCTCTCCTAGTATCTTGAGGCTGATTCCTAATGGACTTTGAGATAGACTTAATCGTTGTCCTGTTTCAAGGTCTGCTGACTGCCAAGCAGACACTGTGACATTTGATCAATATCTCCTGCCTATGCTGCAGGTTTTTAATACCTTAGGACACAGAGCAGCCCCAGAGCATCGCCCAGCCTCCAGTATGCCTTCTTGTGGTCGTGTTATTTTCAGTGGATGCTTCATTCTTCCTGCTCCACATATCTGGGGGTAATGATGTACATCAGGAGTCTCCAACTCAGGTCCTCAAGATCTATTGTCCTGCAGGTTTTAGATACGTCCCTGCTGCAACAAAGCTGAATGAAATGAATAGCAGTTTACCAGGCGTTTGCCAATTGTGATGGCACGCTGAAGACGTAATCCAGTCATTTGAATTAGCTGTGTTGGAGCAGGGATGCATCTCAGATCTGTAGGACTTTTGATCCTGAAGACCAGGGCTGGAGACCTATGTCAATTTCGAAGCCCAGTGAATCAATGAATCAATTTATTAGAATTGGTCAATCCCTCCATGCTCGAAATATTTAATACAGTTTAAAATGGCGGCATCTGCTGGATAGCTCTGAGAACTAAATCTGAGCGGGTATCCTAATGTTTGCATTATTTCACAGTTGAACTTGTTTGTTCCATAATATTTGTATTGATAATGATAACAAAATAATATTTATTATAATAAAGAAACTAATTTCTAACCTGCCAAAGTGCAATATGATAGAAAGCCCTTTTGATGCATAACAGCTGTGTGAGTGTGACAGTGCGGTCCTGTCACTATGGCTTGGGATGGTAATACGTTCTGGATTCCCAGTTCTACAGATTTTGAAGCTGAACAATTAGCACGCATGCATGCTATCTACTCCATACCTTTTCGTCTGTATATATATTTTTTTATTTCTGTAAATAAGGACACATGTCAGCCCTGTGCAGCCCTATATTACAGCGGGCTGCACCTACAACAAAAAATGTACATTAATAAATTATCCTTGAAATAGCTCTAATGATGTAAAGAATTTGAACCAACTCTTTCCAGTAGCCTGTGGCTCTGACTGATGAAGATGATCTTATCGTATAAGAAGCATCAATAACTAAATAATGCAGCAGTTTATCTTTAGGCTATTTCCAAACTAACCTAATATGTTTTATTATTTATTTGTTTTTCCTCTAAACTAACCTAATCTAAGTTATAATCTAGTGTTAGTCAACTGTTTAGGTCTGCTGTGTGAATAATATCTGTTATAAATTAATCAGTGGATCACTATAGTGGGTATAGCTGTGTGTGTATCTGTAATGTGTGTGTCTCTATCTATTTTAGATCTATGTGAATGTAGCAAACTATTCTGAATAGATTTTAAATTAGACCAATATAAAATTCCTTTCCCTGCCTTTGAGTAAAACTATAAATGGAAAAACCTGCAGTTAGAGCCACGATACTCATGCAATTTATATACTGGACACAAAGTGTGAAGCAACAAGGTCTCGCTCGCCACAGACACGGGATGGGGTGTCCACCAAACACTTCTGCTTCAAAAAGGTCGAGCAGACTGGCTTGACCTTAACATCACCATGGAGACACCTGGTGTCAGGGCCACCCCCCCTGCATCATAGTAAATTCCACTTCCAGTTTACATGCTCACACAACAAAAACTGAATAGGCATGTCTTTGATTTTTCTTTTATTGAGGAACAATGAAAATCGATTTAAATAACATTGAAACCAATGAAATATGGTTATAAATTCCAAATTAAAAAAAAGAATACAAAATTGTATTTTTAACAGTCTTTCCAAAGTGCCGTATTGAACTATCTACAAAACACTGTAAACAAGTGACATAAAATAAATTGTAAATACAATATAAATAACGCACTGCACAAAGTGATATGGCCCAACAAGAACTAAAGAACCCAGCACTGGCACAAAAAATGAAAAAATAAATAAATAAATAACTGCATAGTTTGTATTGAGTATAAAGTGCACATATAAATTATTATGTTACAAAAAAAAAAAAAAAGATTTTACGGAGACCTCTAGTGGTGTTTTTGTAATGCTGCACTCCCTAGTCATTTTCATCTGCTACAGTTTTATTCTCCTAGTCTTTCTTGCAGAAAAGTGATCTATAACATCATCATATGATAACTGATTCGAGATCACATGATTGATACTTAAAATGGAAGGTCCACAGTTAAACAGCTGCAGCTCATTCAGAACTCTGCTGCTCGAGTTCTCACAAAGACCAGAAAACTGGACCACATTAGTCCAGTTCTCAGGTCTTTACACTGGCTGCCGGTCCATCAGAGAATAGATTTTTTAAGTTCTGTTGCTGGTCTATAAAGCTCTGCATGGTTTAGGCCCAAAATACATCAATGACCTCTTGACCCAGTATGAACCTACTAGACCCCTCAGGTCATCCGGATCCGGCCTTTTATCAGTTCGCAGAGTCAGAACCAGACATGGAGAGGCTGCGTTCAGCTTCTATGCTCCACATGTCTGGAACAAACTCCCAGAAAGTCTTAGGTTAGCTGAAACACAGTTTATTTAAATCCAGGCTGAAGACCCACCTGTTCTCAGCTACATTTACGTAGATTTTATTAAAAAGTTAAAATTCGCCCGTCTCTGTATTCTCTCTTTTTAATTTTAAATGTTTTTAATTTTGAATCACGCTTTTAATTGTTTTTAATTGTTTTCTTTCCCTTTTGCTTATAATGTTTTATGTAAAGCACTTTGAATTGTTCTGTACATGAAATGTGCTATACAAATAAACTTGCCTTGCCTTGCCTTGCCTTGCCTTGCCATTGAGATGTTTTTGCACCATAACAGATCTCAGGTATGTTCTAATGAGTTTAACCTTGGGAACGCTCTTTCAGCAGCAGTGACTGTAATAAGAAGAGTGGCAGAGATTCTCAGAGGAACCCACATGTTGGGGTACATTTCTGTCAGCTTCTTCTCAAGCAGGAACGTCAACAATTCCATGTTTTGTTGTATTGTTTAGTGGGAATTGTGGGGTTCCAAGTTCTGTGCCTTTTTGTTCTGAGACGGACACGACAGGAGGATTTTTTGATGTTGATGAAGTTACGATGAAGATGGCCCAAGATTTTCAGGAGTGGAGTTGAGGTATTTTAACTGAGCATCTGAAGAGAGAAAAAGGGTCAGTGAAATCGTTGGGTGTTTTTTTTTTATTCCTGCAATCATATTTTATAATCAGATTTATTATTAGATTGTCTGATTAGAACAATTCAAAAATCAGTTAATTGAATTTTTGAGGGGAATGCTGAGTTATGACGAATCGACGACCATGATGTGCATTTTAACATGGATGTAAAGTTAAACACTAAAAACACTCTTTAAAAAATTAACTGTAACAAGAAACAATTCTTACATAACTAGAACATACAACTCTAATATATGAAGGAATAGCATCTTGAAAATTACAGTCAGAGCAAACGCCAGCTAGCCAATAGCCTAATTGATAAAAAATTTTTTTTTTAAAAGATCAAATTTTTATAAATCATCCTGAGTACTTTTTGCCATGATGGCTGTTAGGCCAGTCCATCTCACTAAATAACGTTAAAGCAAGATAACACTGTTTATTGATTAGCAAACTGTGTTTTTAGCCAAACAATTTTAGGGTTAAAGTTATTCTTAAAACTAATGTTGCACCGATACCAGTATCAGTAGGGGTCCCGATCCAGCACTAAAATGGTGGTATCGGTATCGGCAAGTACCAACAAATAGTGCAACAATACCATTTTGAGAAGCAAAAGTTTATTCAACTATTGTCACCCATTCCAGGTAGGCAATAAAAAGTTCTACTGGATTCACTTTGTATTAGTCTTTTTACTGCTTCACAAAGGTAGGCAGCAGCTTGACAAAACAATGATGTCAATTATTTTACATCCAAGTAGTTTGCAGTTCTTCATTTATACACACACATCAATTTCAAACTGATGGTATCGGTATCGGCCAATACTGCACAGCCAGGTATCGGGGCCAAAAAATGCCATCGGTGCAACACTACTTCAGTTAAAGTGTCTTTCGACAACATACAAATAGATTACATACATGACCTTCTTCACTGTACCCCTGTCCTTGTCAAGTTGTTACTCTGCTTCTTTTCTTTCTTACTTGGGCACCAGAAAGTTTTGGGTTGTTTTTTTTGCCTTCTGTCACCACGTCAGACCACTCGATCGGGGCACATCTCAAGCTGCAGCTGGACAACAATGTAAACAATGGCTGCTTAAAAAAACTCCTAAATAATAATATTTTTCAAACCACTTCCTCTCCTGAACAGTTTAATATACATACACTAGACTTGGCACAGACCATCTTCAGACCTTTCCAGCGCTCGAATAATTTTGATCATCTAATGATTTAAAAAAAAAAATACCATTGTAATA